CAAAGTATTGCATAAATATGTCCTGTGGAAGGAGTGACTTTAAATAATGTTTGGAAGACACTTGCCAATGTCCACCATATGGCAAATGCTTTTCAAAAGGCAGCTGTTACAATTTTTCAAAAGAGATTTTGGAGCCAGACGGATAGAATTGGAGTCCTTGTTCTACCAATCATTAGATCATACAGTTATTGACAAAGTTATTGCAATGTTCTGCTTTTATTTTCTTCTCTGAAAATGAAAACAGTGCCTACCTCATAGAATTGTTGTGAAAATTAAGAGAGACTATATGTAGATTTCATAGAACAGTGTCTGGCATATAGTAAGAGTATTCTTATTCTTATTACTATTACTTAAAAGGACAGTAGAATAAGAAAAGAGAATAATGATTACTCCTTAAGTATCTCTTGCCTGAAATAATTTACAAGCAAAACAGCACTTATACATATATTAGGCCTCAAATAGATATTTTTCTTTTCATGATAGAGATGAAAATATTACGACTTGGAAAGCTTTTGTGACTAAATAATATGAACTCAAATTCATTGAATGTTTATTTTATTTCAGGCACTGTTGTAAGCCTGTTACATGTATCAAGTCACATAACATATAACCTTATTTGGGTGGTCCTATTATTACCATTATTTTACTACTGAAGATACTTACAATCAAGGATTTAAGCTACATGTCCAACCCCACACAGATAGAAAGAGCATTTGAATCTATGTTGACTTGCATCTAAATTCTTAGCTCTTGGTCACCATGATCCACTACTAACACAAGTTAATCCTCGGAATAATTTCCAACTGAAAGTACACACAGTCAAATCATTCTTTGCTTAGATTTCTGAAGTCACATCGGGATTTCAGCAGGTGAAAATACTCTGAGGTAGAATAAAGCTTAGCTTGAAAATTGAATACTAATTCTAATCCAAAATACTTTCCTACACTGTCCTGAGAACCGCCAGTGCATATCTTATAATAAAATTGTATTTTTTGGAATTTATTTTCCTAAGAGCATTTAAATTTACAAACTGACAACAAGTGTGAGTGGGTGGCGGAGATTAATCAAATAATTCACCACTAAGAATATAATGTCAGGGCCTTACTTCAAGTATCTTGATCTTCCAGTATCTTAAGTGAAAGACACTAAGTATCTTCCATGCATTCAATGTCCTAACAGGACCATCTATAAACTCGACAAATTATAAAGAAAAGTATCAGAATTTGCTAGAGGACAACCAAAGCACAAAGAAATTAGAGGGAATATACACGTGGAAGAAACGAATGACATTGAGTGACTACTCCATATTTATGAAAAAATTCAAGAGCGAGTCAGTGAAGAGGATCACCAAATTTTGTATATTAATTCTTCCCACATCTCTGCCTGATCTCTGAAATACACAGAACGTATGCAGTCTCCTTAATCTCTTTTTAGAAATGATATCAGCTGCCTTTTGAAAAAGCATTTGCTGAATGGTAGACATGGGCAAGCAAACATCTTCGTAGGGATCGCGGCGCTGGAAGTCCGCCAGCACCTCGGGCTGGGCTGGGCCTGGCGGAAGGCTGGCGGGCGTGCCTGCAGCCATTGAGGCGTGCGCCGGGCGCAGCTGGCCCGGAGAGGCGCCGCTCCCGGTAGGCGGCGAAACGGCGGCCGGCTGGGAAGAGGGCGCCGCGCTGCGGTTGCGGTGGCAGAAGATCTCCAGGTAGCCCACGTTCTCGGCCCAGTGCTCGCCGCTGTAGTGGTTTAGCGCGTGCCGGTAGTTCGACTCCAGCGGTATCAGCTCGTCCGGTGGAAAGCTGTAGTGCTGGTATTGGGCGCGACCCGCACCAGCACCAACAGTGCCCTAGGTTTGAGTTCTGTGTGGAAGAAAACTTCTTTTTAAAGCTGTATCTCAAGGCATAGGACAATACCCAGCACTAGTAATCGCTTGATAGTTGTTGGATACCTGAAAGCAAGGTTTTGGATGCCACCTGAAGAGAGCGGCTATTAGTTGCATGCAACTGGAGTAGGTGTCTGGGAATTTGAGAAGAGTTGGGAGGCAGCAACTAGGACACATCATCACCCAGGAAACTAAACTACATGTATCAGGTCTGCTTCTGCCCAAGAAGCTTAATCTTTGGTTGGTTTCATCCCTAGAAGAAATCAATAACTTGGAAGTCAACTAGGACAATGGAAACAAGAAACCCTGCAGTGGAAGGGAATTCACTATATGATAAGGCAGCACATATGGCATAGGGGGAAATTTTCATTTTCAGAAAATAATGAAGTGGTTCAAGCTGAGATATACCCTCATGCCATTTAATGACATTATTCCTAAACCAGTCCTGGAGCTACCCAGCACCAACTCATTGTCCAGGCCATTCAATACCACATCTTGTGGTCTAGGAACACCAAGTCTGCCACCAGAGCCAGTTCTTAGGAGATAAATGTCCCTGGAGCTATGCCATTCAGAGGTGATTATGCCCAGGCAGGGAAGACCAGCCTTGAACACCAGGACAGCATCTGGCATCTAGGGAATTGTTGACTGAAATACTGAATGATGTGCACCTGTTAGAATTGTAGAGATGGAGGGGGAACCAAGATGGCCACCATGGAGCAGTAGACCGATGCCTTTTGTGTTGAGCAAGGAAGAGAGTAAGGACCCAGCCACTGATAGAGACACCTCAAACACTTTTGGACAGGGGAAATACCCTGCACCCAGCAAAGGTCTTCTTGAACACATAGAGACCAGAAGCTGACAGCATGTGTGTGAATCTGGGTGCCCCATCTCCTGCTGTGTGCCAGGTTTGCAGAAGAATGTGCATAAGGATGTTTCCTACATTTTCTTCTATGATGCTTATAGTTTGAGGTTTTATGTTTAGGTCTTTGATCCATTTTGAGTTTATTTTTGTGTATGGTGACCGGTAGAGGTCCTGGTTCATTCTTCTGCATGTGGCCTTTTGTGTTTCTATCTCTTTCAAAACCTCCCCCTTACTGCTAATTTCTCCCTTTTCTGTGGGTGGTAACCTTTCTTGGTAGACTGATGAAAGGTAACTAAAAAGAAGCAGGATGATGTTTCTGTTCATCGTGCACAGTACCTGTTTGCTGTGCCCAGTGTGACGGTTCCTGGATTCCTGAGGCAGCTTCATTCTCTTACCCCATCCTCTATCATTCACACTCAAACTTCTCAAATATTCACCCCTTCCCAGTTATGTATCTGATTCCTACTAGGTGCTTTTGTGTGGTGTTAGATAAACCTATCATAATGGGTGTGTCTTCTTATGCAAATAAAGAAAGCCATACGTTACATATGAAGCTTGCTTTGAATGTGGACAGTTTATAAAATACATGAAATAAGGCACGAAAACAAGAAGAGATAGCAAGATAATTGAACTAAGGGAGGTGGAAGTAATTTAAAGTGAAACCATGAAAAACATACACTTAAAAAGGACAATGGTACCTTCTTTTCCTACATGGACAATTTTTCGAAAAGTTCTGTGTTCTAGGCAGATACTGGTGGGACCTTTCCAATGGTGACCTCTAGGGGTGGGTGGGAAGGAGACAATGTGTGCGTCTCCCACTCCCATGCTGCACTGCCCCAGCTGCTCTCAGCCTTGGTGGCTCCTGGTAATTCCATTTCAGACTCCAATGGAGTGGAGATCCAGTTCACACGACTCCAGGCCAGGGGGCTGGGGAGAGCTCTAGGTCCCTGCATGGAAGTTTGCTTAAAAAAGGGTGTTGTCGTTGAGGATTCTATTCTGGGGATTCCTGGGCCCTGGGTGAGTGTGTGAGTGGGGGCCTTTCAGAAGGGCTGGGGAGACAGCAGCTAGGTCCCTGGGAAGGTATCATCTGTGGGTGCCTCTGGGAGAAGCCTGGGATGTAGGTAAGCCCCGGGAAGGACTGGAGACCGCCTGGGTCCCCAGAGGTGGATCCCTCTCATCCATGCAAGGCTCAGGCATAGAAGCATCAGCAACATCATTGGGGATCATAAAGGCAGGATGGTCTGGCAGGCAAGTGCAGTCACCGAGCCTGGTCTGACAGTCCTGGACAAGCCTCCTACCCCACTTCTATGCTCTCCCCTTGGGCAGGGGCATGTGCCTGGAGTAACAAAGACCATCCTTCCAGAACCCCTGTTTCCTGGCTGTTGAGGGTACTCAGAGCTAATCTGGGATGCTTGGGCCAGGAGAGAGAATGTGGTCCAGGATATCTCAGACTGGGAATTAGGAAGAGTTACAGAGGGAAGGCATTTAGCATAGCTGCATTCACAGAATAAATACACAACACAAGGGGTCCTTCATGGTAGTGTTTTATTACTTGCATCCCCAATCTGAGTGCTCACTTGGGCAATACTAAAGGAACAGAGGACTTGGAAAAGGGATGGTAGCTGAATTTAATTTAAAAAACCAAAAGCATTGGAATTTTGTCATTCCTGATACTCTTGCAAGTCAATCTTCAACCTCCACTGCAGATTGGGGAAACTGAGATGTCCAAGGGTTTACACAATGGACACAGCTGGTTCTGAGTTTATTGTTGATTACACCTGACCAAACTCCTTTTTCCGAAGTTCACCATGTCTAATCTTGCCAGTGATGGTTTTGGGCAGCTCTGAGACAAACTCCACCTGGTTGAGGATAAAGCAAATCCAAGGTGACTTACCAATACCGCATTCCTCTCATTTCCCCCTCCCCACAGTCCCCCCACAAGATGCCAACATATAGTGGCTTTGATGGGGTCCAGTGAGTATCTAGATTCCCCTCCTCACTCCCTAAAGTTGGATGTCTTCATGTAACTTGCTGTGACCCATGAGATGTGAGTGGAAGTGAAGCATGTCCCCTCTAGACAGAATAGTTTGAGCCATTGAGATGGTCACTGTCTTCTCCATCTCTTACAACACCTGACAGGTATCTCCATGGGGGCTGCTCCTTTATCCAGGTGTCAGGATGAGGGGATGTGGAACACAGGTCCCAAGATAACCGTGGTGCTTGTGTGTGTAGCATGAGCAAGAAAGATACCTTCATCGTTGAATACCTCCATTGCTCAGGGCTGTTTGTTTCCTACAGTGACATCTAGTCCATCCTAAAGGGCAGGCACCATCTAGCCCATACTCTGGGAGGAGTCTGGCCTACTGTCAGAACAGGAAATTTATGCGTGGGTTTGAACTCCAGCTCCGCCTCTTATTGGCTGCAATCTCAGGCATTTGATTTGAGTTTCTGAGCCTCAGTTTTGTGTCTGTAAAATGGGTTGGCTATACTATCTATGATTGTGGGAAGGATTAAATGAAATAACAGTCCATGTAGAGCTCTGTGTCCAGGGCCTGACATACACAGCAAGTGCTCAATCAATGTTAGTCATGAGCTTCATAACATGCATTGGTTGTAAATATTCAGACAACGTTATGTATATTCTCTCATAGCCTTTATTCTTAATGTGTTGGGATTTGTATGTCAAACACACATATGATCTGTACCATCCTTTGAAATTACAAAGTAATATTTAATTTCATGAATGATTTGTTTATTTCTCTATTTTTCACCATTTTTGTAGATAGCATATACCTTTTAAAACAAAGGAAAACAAACATATCAGAATGTATTGTGTATATAAAGAATAAATACCATTCTGTCAACTTTGTTATATGTATGTATATATGTATTGAGTGCAAAATAGAATCTATTTCTTTCTATAAATCATGTTTAAAATAGTTTAGAAGCTGATAATTTGGATTTCTTTTCAAATGTTACAGGATTATAAATAAATAACCTTATTTAGTGATTTTGGGCATTTCTCTAATTTTTCTTGAGGTGAACATACCAGCAATGATGCCTTTTGGGTTTCTGACTCAGTACAGTGGTTTCTATCCAAATAACTCAACTCCATCCCATTTCTGATCCAGACCTGTTCTGCTGCAGAGGTATAAGTCAGTGCTATTGGCTGTTTGAGCTTCCCCTGCATGGCCACCCTATGAGATGTGGGGCAACCAAGCACTGGGAACCAGTCAGGGGCAGCAGTTCCCATCCATGTGTTCTGCTCACCTTCCTCGGGTACTTGTATGGGGCTGTCACTGACTTCACGTGCTGCTGCAGCTCCTTGGTGAGCTGGTCCTGGTCATGAGACAAGAACCCTGGGGCCAGGACAACAAATGCCTTCACCACCTGCAGAACAGCAGCACAGGTTCAGGGTGAGTGCCACAGAATGTAGCTTAAAAAGTCAATGTGTATTCAGTGAGTAAAAAAACAAGGTGACGGTTGAGCCTATGCTAGTAAGGACCTTGAAGCCTTCAGAATAGGGCCAGATTCAAATCCCCATATTTCCAGTTTCCACTACAAGTCTTGAAAGTCTACTTGACACCCTCTTAACCTCAGATTCCTTCTCTGTATAATGGGGATAAAAAAGTTCATTCGGCCGGGCATGATGGTTCACACTTATAATGGTAGAACTTTGGGAGACTGAGGTGAGAGGATTGTCTGAGCTCACGGGTTCGAGCCAAGCCTGGACAACTCGGCGAAACCTCATCTCTACAGTAAACAAAAAAATTAGCCAGGGTGTTCCTGCAGTTCCAGCTACTTGGAAGGCTGAGGCAGAAGGATCTCCTGAGCCTAGCAGGTTGAGGCTGCGGTGGCCCTGAGCAGTGCGCCACTGCCCTCCAGCCTGGGCTACAGAGTAAGACTCTGACTCAAAAAAAAAAAGTTCATTACACATTCTATACATTTACCATGTAATAATACATATAAAAAATCTGACTCATTTAAATTTATTATTGTCCATCTCATCATTGTTAGCACTAACATGTCTATTATTATTGCATGTAAAATTCTGTGCCTAGAATTCAATAAGCATTTAATCATTGGTGCTAATTTATTATCTTTACGTTAGTAATTTTATCACCATTAAATTGCACAAGGCCTCGAACATAGTCAGTGATGAATAAACGCTTAATGAATAAAGAAATGCATGCTCTGGTGCCACATTACTGAGATTCCTATTCTGCCTCCACCCCTAATAATTGTGTCAAGTGAGCAAGTTATTAGCCCTCTTATGCTTTTCTTTCGTCATCTATAAAAGGAGTGTGAGCACTTGGGTTAGTGGGTTTTGTGAAAGTTTAATGATTTGGCACATAGGAAGCGTTCACCTAATATTAGCTGTCATCCTTATCCTAATTTTCAAAGCCACACAGAAGCCACTGTGCCCCCTGGTGACCACATAAAGTAACAGCAAATTGCTCCCTATACCTTTCCTCCACCCTAGGTCCCAGACTGGTAGATAAGACCTGGAAGTTTCCCTGGTGGCTGCCTTCCAAGTGCCCACACATAGACATGATGACTTCTGGGTTCTCCTCACCTCCCCTCGAATCGGGTCCGGGCTGCCCACCACGGCTGACTCTGCCACCGCTGGATGCTCTGCCAAGGCACTCTCCACCTCCGCGGGCCCGATGCGGTACCTGGGGGGTTAATTGATCTGGGGAAGATCTGAGGGTTGGAGTGAATCAAGTCCTCAAATCTCCTACTCTGGAGGTCACATCTTTCCTTGGCACAGAGGGTAAAGGTCATAGGGAGCCAAAGACCAGTAGCCTGCCTGCATCCTGGGCCCAAAATGTGAACACATGAACGTTCAATGCTAATATATACAAGGGTCTGCTCCCCAGGGCTTCTCACTTCACTGCCTCTGCTGAGGGAGGGAGCAAATGCTTTGTCCTCCCAGAGCTCTGGGTGCTTGGCCCAAGCCGCTTCCCCCAGCATGAAATCTCTTGAAAGCCTCAAACTTTGTCTTAAACATTCATGCAAATTCTGCATCCTAGTCTCCATGATATCAGCGAGTTCTAGTTTATTTGATTTGTTGGCTTTTGTGGTATATAATTAAGGTTTACAAACAGATGTTTTGATATCTATATTCATAGTAAGATGACTACAACCAAGTAAATGAACATATTCATCATCTCACATAATCACCCCTTTCTGTTTTGTGCTAAGAGCATTTAAAACACTCACAACAGATTTCTAGTACTTCAGCATGTTTTGAGAGTTTTAAAAACCCTCTGAAATAATCAAGATAAAGTGACATTTTATTGTAACAAAATTTGGTGTAACAGAATAGTGTGTTCTTCTGGAGGTGGCAGTGTGTGTGCTTGCAGCAGGAGTCTGTGTATCCAAGTTAAGCTGAGGGTGGTTTGGTGATTTTTTTAAAAAAATCACATAGTGGTGAGGGACAAGGACTCAGAGCCCAACAAACTCATTTTAAATCTGAATTCCACCCTGTACTGTCTGAGACTTCAGGCAAATTTCTTCACTGGGTAACAACCCTGTTTCCTCATCAGTACAACAGGGATAATAATTTTATCTCCTTTCTGGCTTTGAGTGGTGGGTTATATAAAGCACTAAGAAGAGTTTTTCTGCTTAGTAAGTACTCCATAAACGTGAGCTATTATTATTGTTTTTTTTCTCCTGTGACATCTTGTGCTGTGTTATTGTAGCAGAAACATGTCATAAGCTCCCCCAACCTGGGAACCAAAACAAAGTCTCCCATTCCAATAGATCCTCCACCTTTTTAAAATTGCATAATGTTATATTATGGATTCTCTTTCAGATGCTCTTGAATTTCATTTTGACTGATTCTTCTAGATTTAGGAATTGCAGGATGTCCACAGATACCTGAGATCAGGGCAACATAGACATGGCTCTTTTCAGAATTTGGCTGAGGGTCCCATCATCAATGCATGAAGGAATGTGAGGGCAAGCAAATCTCCAAGAGGCATGTGAGGGTAATAACAGCCACCTTAGGGTCAACCACACCTACCCAGAGGCATTGATGACATCGTCGCCCCTCCCCAGGAACCAGATGTAGCCCTCCTCATCCATGGATGCTCGGTCCCCAGTGTTGTAAAAGTCCCCACATTCCACTTCGGCTGTCTTCTCTGGGTTATCCTGCAAACAGAACAGAGCTCCTTTGTGGAAGGCAGTGAGTTGAGGGATGGAGAGCCACAGCCTCAGGTTCAGATCTGAGTCTGGGTTCTGGCTATGGCTCTGCCTGATACTTGGGCAGGTTTTGTAGTCTCTTTGAGTCTACGTTTGCTCCATGTAAGCACACTATGCCTGATGCTGCTCAATTACCGGATGTTATTAAACCCTTTCAATGACAATTTTAAAAATTACAATTGATTTTTGTGAGGCAGTCCACTAGAATAAAATTTCTATTATAGCATGAACCTTGTTTATTTTATTCACTTCTACAAGCTCAGTGTTCACACAGTGTCTGGACAGATAAGAGGAACCAACAAACATTTGCTGAATAATTTTCTTCCCAAAACCATATTTCATTTGATCCTCACAGAAAGCCTATGAGGCTGGTATTTTTCTTAAGTACATATTTCTCCTTGCGATAATTGTAGATTGGCATGCAGTTATAAAAAAATACAAAATAATAAAGAGTGATCTTATATACCATTTACTAGATTTCCATAGTGATAACAGCATGTAAAACTATACTTCAATATAACAACTGGGATATTGAGATTGATACAATCTACTAATCTTACTTGGATTTCCTGTTTCCCGTGTGTGTGTGTGTGTGTGTGTGTGTTTAATTTTACACAGTTCTATCATCTATGCAGGCTTGGGTATTCACCACTGCAGCCAAGATACAAAACAGTCCCATTGACCTAAACGTTAATCACATGAGCACAGGGGAGGGATTGGCAGTTGCTGGGCGCTGCCAGGGGAAGTGGGGGCATGTAACAACACAAAGGGTACCTGGTCCCAACTAGGGGAAGTGAGGGCCAGTTGGACGCTCAAACTTCACCTGCATGCAGCCCTACGTATGTAATACTTACCTGTACCCCACATCTCTATAACAAAATACAATTTTAAAAAGTCCCATCATCAAAAAATCTCTGATGTTGTTCTTTTATAACCACATCTACCTCCCTCTTGTTCCCTCTCCTTCTCTCTCCATGTCCCTAACCCCTTGATAACAACTCACAAGTTCTCTAATTAATAATTTTGTTGGTTGTAGAATGCTATATAAATGAAATCGGAATCCAACAGGATTTTTTTTTCTCTGCTTAATTTTTAGAAACTCACTCAGATTGCTGTGTTCATCAATAGTTTGATACTTTTTAAAATCACTGAAGAGTATTTCATGCTATGAATGTATCTCGGTTTTTGTTTAACCATTCACCATTGAAGGGCATCTGGGATGTCTCCAGTGTTTGGCTATTATGAGTAAAGCTGCTATGTATATTTGTGTAAACATTCTTGTGTGATGCTGACATTTATTGTAACTCTTTTTTAAAAAAGAAAGAAACATGCTCAGAGAGGCACAGGAACTTGCTCAAAGTCACTCAGCTGGTCATTGAGAGGGTTGGTATTTAAATTTAATTTTTTGCTTCAAAGCCTATTCATAGACCTCTAAGCAATCCCTCTTGGGCAATATGAAATGATTTTAGGAGGTACCTGGAAATTTAACATTGAATTACAATGTTTAAAAATATTTAATTGAGTCTTCTGTTTTTTTTGCTTAACTTCCAGTTGTTGTAATTATATCAAGAAGACTCTTGGTTTTAATGCTGACAGGCTTTTAAATCTCTGGAAGTACCAAAATGAAGACAAGTTTCAAGATATGAGCTTTAAACAGGAAAATGATTTAAATAGAATTTAATATAATTGCTGTTTTAAAAAATATAGTTATGGTTATAATTGCATTGTTTTGTCATTTGTGATACAAGATCAACTTTTTTATCGAAACAATTGTCTTAAGGTAATAATGAATTGATTTAAACAAAAATATAAGTAAGAAATGGTATAGATGGTGTATAGATATAGCAAAAAACAATAGATGTGGACACCAATCACCAACATTTAGGAAACACTGCACAAACAGGCACTGTGATGCTTCACCCCCATTTATGAACCACTTGAACCGCTGTCTTACTCAGTGCACTATGTTTTGCTATTGTTCACCTGACACACTCTTATGGTCGATCTTTCCAGAAGGAAAAGTATATTAGAGATTACCAGATGCTGGGGGAAGAAGGAGTGGGATGCTATTGTTTAATGAGTACCCCTTTTGTTTAGGACGATAAAAACTTTGGAGTTGGATAATTGTGATGTGTGTACACCATTGTGAATTTACGTGATGCCACTGAATTGTACACTCAAAAATGGTGAAGAGAGAAAATTTTTTGTTATATTTAACCTCAACGAAAAAAAAAGGCCTCTATTTCATTGAAGCCTGGGCATGGTGGCTCATGCCTATAGTCCCAGCACCCTTAAGGCCAAGGCAGGAGGATTGCTTAAGCCAAGAAGCTCAAGAAGAACCTGGACAATATAGCAAGACTTTGTCTCTACAAAACATAAAAAGATTAGCTGGGTGTCCTGGTGTTCACCTGTAGTCCCAGCTACTCAGGAGGTTGAGGCAGAAGGATCACCTGAGCCCAGGAGATCAAGGCTGCAATGAACCGTAATCGTGCCACTGCACACCAGCGTGGATGACAAAGTGAGACTCTGACCAGATAAATAAATACACGTTTGAATACAATGAGAATCTGTGAAATATACAGACATAAGTGTGAGTTTACGTGAGGATACCTTTGGAAAATAAAAACATGTCATGCTTAATACAAAAAAAGAAAGAAAGAAAGAATAGAAGAACCATTCTTTTGAAGCATCTAATTCAGTTTAACCTGGCTCTCTGTGGTTAGACTGAAGCACCAATTTTAAAAAATATCCTCAAATGATTCTAAAATGTCAATACATAACTGTGGTTCCCAAAGATACCTGCGTGTACATATTCATGTTTAATTGTTCTTTTATCCAACCTTGACATTGTGCACTGAGAATTAAGGCTAAGACCTGTATGTTGGGTGCCTCTGTATCACACAATGTTCAACCCCAGCTGAGTCCCCCTGGAGCCACAATGTGAGGAAAGCAGTGACACTGGGACAGCCTCCAATGAAACGTTTTTGGAGAAAGGAGAGTCTGGGATCAATTTTAGGAACTGGTCACTCATTCATGGCCAATATCGGAAGATAAAATTTTCTTCTATGTGGTCATTACTATCCTGGGAGGGCTACGGTTTGTTCGATCAAGAGTTTCAGCAGTCTTCTTCATGGTCCATCCCAGTTTTCTCTAATCTCTGGATTCCTCCTTTAGGGTTTTGGTCCCAAGATACTGGATTCCAGACCTACCATTTATTTGATGAAGAGACAACACTGAACAATTTCACCATACAGTTTTTTCCTCTATAAACTAGGGAATATAGAGCTCCAAGGAGGCTCAGCTAGGATAAGTGATTTGCCCCCCCCCCGCCCCCTAAGGTAGTTGTTGGTGTGGGGGATGGTGTTATTTGAATGGAGTCAAAGTCCATATAATCAGGAAATCACTGGAACCCAAGTCTGATGTTTAGGAAGCCAATTTTTTTTCTACCCCATCTGTCATCCTTCAAGTATCCTATGGGTTAAAACAGAAAAAGATGTGTGAATTCTCTTTGAGTTTTCAGTTTAATAAAAGCAGGCTTCATTGAATTGGGTGATAAAGAAAGGTCTTTAGAACTCTCACTACGCAGTTTCCTGTAGGGATAATTGGGGACAGGATGGGGGCCATTACCTCATAGCACAGGAACAGGCCTATCGGCCTGGTGGGGCTTGATCCTGATGCCAATGTTTCCTTCAGTGTTTGGTGGCAGGATGTTGCCTTTGTCATCGATGATCTGAAGCAAGAGGCCTGTGAATTCCACCCTACAGCATTCTCCAACCCATCTTCCCCACCCAAGCATTACCTGGCTCATTGATGGGGCACCACTGAGGATAACTGGGGATAAATAGGTACAGAGATAAAGGAACTTTTCAGAAAATAGAATAAGATTGTCAAAAGTCTTTGAAATCAGCAAATGTGAAACCTGAGTCAAGGTTCTATGGTTCATGGATAGATAAGCATTAACGTGTCTTGAAGCTAGAAAACACTGATCAAGAAAAACAAAAAGCGCCAGCTGGTAAGGAGAGCTGCCAGTGTAACCTCTAGTTATACTTCCCCATCCACTGTGTGTGATGCCTCAGGTTGCTGGGGTGAGCTGCCTGTGTGTCTACAGTAATGCCGATAATGCAGTCTTCAACTATAGCCTCCATAAGAAATCAGAGGAAAAATGGGAGAGAGGAGGAAGAATGATGGGGACAGCATGGCTGGTCCAACCCCTGCTGAGCCCTACCTGTTCCCTGCCAATGACTCTAGAACCAGACCTGGATGTTGTAGGGTGGGATGGGCTTCCCCAAGGAACCCAGCTTGATCTTCATTCCCCGGGAGACACCACAACTTATACCCTGTTTGCAAAAGAAAGAGAATTGGGGTTGGCCAAGGAGATCTTGCTGATCACAAAGCAGCAAGAACTATGCACAGCACCTGCCACCACTCACGTGTTATTTGATTCTGTACCAGGAACCCCTGTGGGTAACTAGAAAATCAGATTTTAGTCTCAAAACATTGGCCCTACTCTGTTCAGTGGCCGTTTTCTGAACCTATATGGGCTGTGTCTGTACTAAGTACAAAGTCTAGAGTCTGGTGTGGAGGCAAAGACAGAAACACAGGGATAATCTGCAGGTTGGGGGCATGTAACAAGGAATGTGCATCATGGTCCAGGCATGTGTCATTTTGCCAGAGAAAGGTCATGAGTCCATTTAACAGACATATACTCAGTAGTAAGATTTCTGTCACAACTCCCTTGCAGTGTTTGTGAAGATTGTGTTAACTGCCTGTGCTGTGCTCTCTACGGCATTACCTCTTCCCTATTTGTTTTCCTGATGAACTTGATTTCTCCTTTATAGCTGCCTCAAGTATCATTCTTTCTGTAGCTGAGTGCTTTCCAGTCAGACAGACAAAGGTTTGAACTTGGACTCCACCACACTCACTATGTGCCATTTCATCTCTCTTGATCTCCTCTGTGAAAGGGGGATAATTTCAACACTACCCTCCCAGAGTGCTTGTAAGTGTGTGAAAAACTCTTTGCACAGTGTAAGACACGCACCAAGTGTTCAATGAATGACAAACACACTAACTATTAATCAGGTCTCAAGAAAAGTCAACTGAAAGATTCTCTCTCTCTGCAGTATTTCCTCCATACTTCTATTGTGGCACACAGGCCATTGTAATTATTCTGGCTTATGTGTTTCCCTCAGTATACAACAAGTATTCCAAGAATAGAGATTGTCCTGTTCACCCCTGTGCTCCCAGCATCTGGCACTATACCTACCTAAAAAAAAACAAGGACCACAGAATCTGCAATGAGAGCATGGACTATGGCTGGATGCTGGCCAGTGTTATGTACTTTTTTTTGCATTAGACTTTTGCAGTCTGGCAAGATTAGCATTATAGTTTCCACTTTAGAGACAGGAAAGCTTCAATAACAGCCATTATGGTCTGTCTTAAAGCCATAATTGGCAGAGTTAAGACTTAGACCCAGGTCTAAGTGCCTAGGAGAGGAAGTTCCTTTCCCCATGACATATCCCTGCTTACACTCTAGGCATGTGAAAAATGTTGCACAGATGAGTGAATAGGTGTGAAAGTGTTTTGTAAAATAAAACTTTCATCTCTTGTTGCAAAGAGTTGATGCAAAGAGACTGAGTCATACATTTAGTGTGTTGCACTCACCCACCCTTCTTGTCCAAATGAGACCTGTGAGCTATACAAGCACAGGCCTGGAATCTCAGCATTTTTCAGGCCTGGAGGTAGGCCAATTAACCACATTATTATTGTTGTTATTTACAAAAAAGTCAGACAAATATGTGAATGGAAACTAAAATAATCATTTTGTACAGAGTCTGAGATGACAGTCATCACTCTGTGCGCTGGTGAGATAAAGGAGAGGTGGGAGAAAGTGGCTCTGTCCATCATCATAAATGGATTAAGAATGTGTTGAAAGAGACACCCACCCATACCCTGGACTATCATTCATGAAGTCCATGAGGTTCCACAATGCAAGATAGTCTAAATGCCCTACCCACCTAGCAGCTCAGTGACACTACGGGAGGACATTATATTTGTGTGTGCATGTGTTTGGTATATACAGAAAGTCTCTCTCCTTTCAGCCACCATGCGAGTATCTCATCATAGAACCTGCATGTTTCTTCCTAAACACCCAGGAATGAAATTCTGGAGCTAGGTTCCAACTATCTCTGCAGGTCTAGGGAGAAATAGTGAAGTGGGCAGGACATGCTGGTGGTGGTCACAATGTTTTGCTGGAGAGAACCTCCTCCCACCACCCCTCCTTGGCTCCTCTGAGCTAGTGATCACAGGGTTAGTGGCAAACGTCCTGGAGCACATTTGTGAGTCTTTGTCCAACAGTTTTCATCACATTCATTGCTTGATAAGTTGATAAGCTTTGAATTTAATTTCTGCCAATTGATTTAAGGCACCTTGACTTAGAACTCACGGGCTTCCTTTTTACTTCCAGCAATGCTGTGTGCACAGTGGTGCCCCAGCACACACATGTGACATGATCTAGTACAGCTGTCTGCTGGGCACAGTGGCCAAGCACACCCTAACTGGCCAGAAGAGATCTGTTCACTTACCGTTTCTGACTGTCCATAGGCCTCATGGAGCAGAATGCCTGTCCTTTTTTTCCACTGCTCATGCTCTTCCGGCAGAAGGGCCTCCCCGCCAGTACAGCAGTGCTCCAGGGTGGGAAACCTGATACTTTGGGAAGGCAAGGTGTCAGGTCTTAGATACTCCACCCCAGATCAGTGCATTAAGAGCTCATAGCTGTTGTTGGAGCACTCATCCTTCAGCTTGCTTTCTTTTTTATTTGCCTTCTGGTCATTTTACTGATGGTGAAGGCTAAGTGGGTGTCACACACTTCCTGTCAGTTCTTGTGAACTCTCCGGCAGGGGTGAATGGGTGCTGAGGCTATCGGGATAAATCAGGGGACTTTGGATTAAATTTGGATGCTGATGTAACAAAAAAAGTATGTTTATCAGAACTCATTTTAGAGAAGCATTTTGTGCGACCAAGAAGGATATTTTTATAAACCATAAGGTGGGGAGGAACAAGATCCTGAAGACACACTAGGGCGATAATAGAACTATAAGCCTTGATAGAGTTTGGATGTTTGTCCCTTTCAAATCTCATGTTGAAATGTGATCCCCAATGTTGGAGGTGCAGCCTAGTGGGGGATTATTGGGTCATGGAGCTGGTCCCTTCATGACTGGCTTGGTCCCATTCTTGTGGTAATGAGTGAGTTCTTATTTTATTAGTTCATGTGAGAGCTGACTGTTTAACAGAACCTAGAACCTCCCTTCTCTCTCTTGCTGCTGCTCTTGCCTGTGACACCCAGGCTCTCCCTCCTCTTCTGCCATGATTGGAAGCTTCCTGAGGTTCTCAGCAGTAGTAGATACTGACAGTACAAGTCTTGTATGGTCTGCAGAATCGTAAGCCAAAATAAATTTCTTTTCTTCATAAATTACTCTGCCTCAGATATTCCTTCATAGCAATACAAAATGAACGAATATAGTTCTCCTGTGGAGCTTGGGTTGTGTTACTGAAGGTCTTTTGTATTTCTGAATGGGTAATTTAGGAGTTGGAAATGAATTGCTCAGGACATCAGGGCAGATTTGACTGTGTGTAGAAATAGAGAGCAAGAAAGGTCACAGGAACTGACGGAAAGAATTCCAGAGAGAAAAGAAAAGTCTGATTGGGCATTGGTAGTAGTTCAGAGGGTACATCATGAGATATAAACCTTCTCCTCCATTTCCCCCATGAAGTTTCCCTAAATAATGCAAAACTAATCACAAAATAATTATCTGATTCCATGAAGAAATGGGGAAAGTGATTGAGGTCTGAGAGCCAGGTGAATCCTGCAGGCACCAGGCTGAGCTTGACTCTTGGTGATGAGGGAAGTAGCAACATCTGGACCACTTTCCCACCTCATCATCTTCTCCTGGTACAGACAGGAGCGAAGGATAGGAAAGTTAGGGTCATTGTAGTTGTCTTCCTTATTATTCTAGAGCTTAATCCAAAGTACATAAAGTAGGCAGAGTCTCAGATGGAGTTGTTAGTTATGCCCTGATAATATTTTCACTGGGTTTGGACACAAGCCATCATCTGAGGGATGTTGCAGAAAGTGGCTGTAATATGAGCTTGGCAATACACCTGGAAATGGAAAATAGCCAGACTGAAGCTTCATGAATAACAGCCTTTTGTAATTCTGAATTAGCTCTTTCAAGATGATCATTAAACTCTTTGACAGGTTAACTCTTGCTTCTAAAACATGTTATCTGTTATTATTGAAGTAGCTCTCTAAAAGATGTTCTTTCAGAGTCTCTAAACATACATAAATGCCCATAAGTTTCAACGGCAGATTTGGGGTTAGCTAAAAATAAGTCCTCAATCCCAGGAAAATTCAAAAATGAAACTGTAGTAAGATAACACTACACACCCTTCAGATTGGCAAAAATTAATAATTCTGGAAATAGCAAATGTTGGCAAGGATGTGCAACCATGGGAATTCTCCTGCTCTGCTAGTGGGAGCAGATATTGATTTTATACCTTGGAAAATAGTGAGGTATTATGTAGTGTCACTTTGACCTGGAAATTTCTCTTCTAGAAACACTCTGTAAAAATACATGTTTATATACACTAGGTTGTGTGTACAAGAGTTCAACAAAACATTATTAATAGCCCTAAAGGGAAAACTACCCAAATGTCCATTAAAGATAGGACTGGTATTAATAACTGGTATTTTCATGAAATACCAGTTACACAGCTGTGAATATAAGCTAAAACAGCAATGTGCAACAACATAGACACATCTTAGAAACGCAGTGTTGAAAAGAGAAGCCAAATATTATAGAATAATGTATGATTACACATATAAATTTCAAATGCATGTAAACTGAAATTATTTGCTTGGGGATATTTCCTTGGGAGGTGAACTATAGAGGAAAGCATAGAGTAAACACTATAAAAGTCAAGATAGTGATTCCTTTAGAGGAGATAAGGAGGCACGTGGAGGGCTTTGGGGTGCTGGAAATGTTATTGTGACTTGGGGAGTGGTTACATGGGTGTTTTCTTTTAAACAGTTCATTAATCTGTAAATTTCTGTTTTATGCATTTTTCTGTATGTTTTTTATTTCATAATAAAAGTATTTTAAAATAAATAAACACACAATGATACAAGGCTCATTGGGTATTTCTCTTGGATCTCTGGGTCCTGTTTTCATTTAACTAATTTGGTTGATAAATATCACCACCAACAATTAACACACACACTGCTCAAAGATCCAGAGGAAAAACAGTCAAACTATGATGCATCAGATTCCTCATGATCCTGCCCAAAGATTGTTGTTATCAAACACTTCTACCATACCTGGTGAAATCCTGGTGCAGAATCATTCGAAATACAGATGGTGCTGCCAGGCAGTGGGTGATGGGGTATTTGAAAAATGTCTGGAAAGTGAAGAGAGAAGAAATATTATTTTACAGTTAAGATAAAAAATATCAACCGGTTATAATCTCCCCTCTAGGAAAGCCCATTTATTCATTTCTTAATTCTTCTAGTATGCATCTATTCAGCATGAGTTGCATAAGTGATATGTGTCAGGTGCTGTTGGAAGAATGCAGAAAGAGTGAGATAACATTCTACCTCCTATGGAGAGTACATAATAATAGGGAGGATAAAGCAGGATTCAAATGATAAAGCGGGCTTGGTAGATATCATAAGAGAGATTGGAAGGAAGTTCTGTAAGAACATAGCAGAGGGAAGTGTTCCTTCTTGTTTTGTGGTCCAGGAAGCTTGGTGGAAGATTTAGCATTTAGTCAGGACATTAGCAAATGGATACAGTGTCTACAGGCAGAAAAACAGGAAAGCTTTTGGACATGGAAGAAATAACAAGAAGCAAAGTCTCAGGAACTGGAGAAACATTTCAGTCAAATCAGAAAATATATCTTATTTAGATCCATTGGAGAGGAATAAGAACAAAATTTATGAAGATTGAAGTTAGTTGGAGCCAGATAATTTAGAGTATAAAATGTCTAGTGTTCATGATTATTTAACTAGAAGAGGGAGTCTTCTCAAGTATCAAGTCTGGGTGAAGCTACTCTAAGAGAGCGAGGAACCGTAAAGAGGTAAGAATGCAGGTTTGAGGATCAGCCTGGTCTACATTCAAATCCTGTTACTTAATTTACCTGCAATTCTTTTCTTTAATCTGTAAAATGAGAATTCAATGTAGTCTTTGTAGACGCATGTGAGGTATAATGAGCACTTTAGGGAAAATCTGGTTGCATTCTCAGTCCCTCTCTTCCTGAACCCAATCAGCTTTTAATCTCTGGATTTGACCATTGCAATATCTCACATTTATGACCTCTTTTAAGTTTTGCTTTTACTGTTATCCCTAGCGTACTGCTCCCATCCCAAAGGATGCCTTTTCATGTTCTGTAGGACTCACTCCCATGCCAGTTATATATATGTGTGTAACCTCACCCCAGAATAGAGGGTTGGATTGATGACTTGGTAACAGACAATTGCCTTAGTCTGGATCACTCTACCTTTAGTTGATCTGGCCTAGTCATTGGGGAATGAAGGATGTCAGCCCAGGAATACTGTGGGCTCCATGTTTGACTTCGTGCATGTGAAGAAGCAAGAGCAATTCTACACACAGAAAGAAGGGAGCACATCGACAGAGAAAAGCAGACAAGACACCAAAGCTGCCTTGATTCCTGGCATCTTTCTGATTCGTGTTTCAGATCCTTGTCAAGCTCAGCTCCTTTCTGCAGTATCATGAAATGTCCCAATGTTTCCCTCCCAAATATTCCTTCTTCTATTAAGCTACACTAAAGTGGGTTTTTGTTAAAAATAGCCAAGGGAGCTCTGCTTATTAGGCAAGGATTAGGGATCATAAATATCCAGGGCATTCTTCACAGCTTGGTTCTAAGTTAGTACTCAGCAAGTGTGGGCTATGGCTATTAATATGAAAGCTGTGTTCTATAACTCATCTTGGAGTTTAATAGCTTTCAGTAGGAGTGTGGAGCAGAAAGCAGAGTTCTCTTGCAACAGTAATATGCATTTTCTTCAAACTTACATTTTGATCTGAATCTGATACAACAATGCTGATTCAATGCTCCACACTTTGAGAAGCCCAGAGCCAGGGTTATCTTATGTTCATGAGCTACTGTGCTTAAAACAATATTTCTCAGCAGGATCCAGCTTTGGACCTGGAAACGTATGTTTCTTCTGGGAGTGTTTTGATATTGGAAGGTTAGTCTTCTTACCTGTACAATGACCTTGGGGTCAAACTGGGGCAGATGATGGATGAATACTGTAGAACCTGCCGCCCATGGTTCAAGCAGGGACCCCAAGACAGCCAGAATCCAGCCTGAGTCCGACAGGCACCAGAAGACATCAGACTTCTTCAGTTGCAATAATTTCCTGCTAACTCCAAAATGCAGTCACCTCAGCTGTGTTATTATGGGATGGGGGTATGATGAAGGATTGAGGACTCTGTTCTCTGACCCTGTTCAGCTAGGGACCTACCCTGTTCTCTCAGTTCATGTGTTTTCAGCAGGACTTTAGGCCACCACCACCCCAGATCTTAAAGGTATACTTCCAAATCACATCGCTAATCACATGCAACTGAAACTGGTTCATTCATACTGCCTTCCTTGAAGTGATTCTCTTCTGATGTTCATCATCACTGTCCAAACCAGATTCCTGGGAGTCAACCTTGACTTCTCTGATCTTCCATGTCTAGTCAAAAGATCCAGTCCACTCTCTCCTGAAATCGCAACTGTGTTAACTTCTTTCATGTTTCTACCACCTGGTCTGGCCACTATTATCTTATACCTGGATTATTCCAAGAGCCTCTAGCTGTTCTTTAACAAATCCATTCTAACTTTTTCCAACCCATTCTCCATCCTGCTGCTACAGTGACCTTTCAAAATACAAATCTGATCAGGTCTCTCTTTTACTAAAGAACTTCTAGTACCTACTCATTGTTTTTCTAATAAGGTACAAATTCTAGGTCAAGGCCCACCAGGCACTGTATAATCTAAATGCTGCTGCCGTTTCCAGTTCTTACTATTGGCCCTCCATCTGACACCATGAGTACCAGCTATTCTCAAATCTCTGCAGTTCCTTGAATACCGCTTTCTATATGCTTTTTTCCTTGCACATACTGTTCAACCTGCCCAGAAAGCTCTCCTTTCTCTCACCTTCATCTCTCCAGGGGATTCGCTACTCCATTGTTATAATTGGTACAAATATCCATTGCCTCCTGTTCTGGCAAACACATGAAAACTTTTCTGCCCACTGTTCTGATTAATAAGTGAATAAGTTGGAAAATACTTAGAATTTTCTCTGTTCTGAATATTGCCAGTTGGAGAGGAGAAGGAGAAGGGATGGAGAGGTTTGGTGTAAAGTTGATTGAATGATTAACCCAAGGCCAGAGCTTCAGCTTCTATGTATTGTTTGTTCTTGGCTAGCAGCAACAGCTTGGCACACCTTTATGTCAGATATTTCCTTCCCTTGTAGTTTGCAGCCGGGAAACTCCAAGTCTGATTTGCCCATAATGGGGGAGAAGAGAGACTCTGTCAACTCAGACCACGCTGCTAGAATATTGTCTTTCCCCACAAAGCTATAGAGCCATTGTCAGGAACACAATGGCTTGTGTGGCTTGCAGAATGCCTTCTGTCTCCATCCACATTTCTTCCACATCTCCTTTGAAGATACTCAGGACCCAAATGTGTCCCCCTTGTTGTTCTGAAGCTTCTGTCAGCAAACATTTTAAATTCCCTGCCTCTACCTCTCAGACACCAAATGTCTCAATGGAAGACAGTGGAAGAAAGAAACAGGATGGAGTCACTGTTATTTCTTTACACACACACACACACACACACACACACACACACACACACACAGACACACACATGCGCGTTCGTATGCTCGCTGCTCGCCCCAGACCTGGGATCCACAGGTGTCTTCTTTTCTACCTTGAAGGAAGGCAGGAATGTAAAGCAAGCCCATGGCTGTGTTTTGCCATCTTTGGGAAGCCTGTGGTCCCACTGGTGAAGAAGATGGCCATCGGGTCCATGGTCTTTGACTTAGTACAGGTGTGGACTGAGGATGCTGATCTGCAAAGGAATTCAAGAACAAACAAGGAAAGTTGTGTTTGCTGTTTATTCCATCCTCTGTGGTTTACACGAAGCATGGACAGAAAACGGTGGATTTGCAACACTGGAGGAAAAACTAGCTCTCCTGGTGTTAGGCATTCAACTGAATAAATGCGAAATTTGGATGAGTGATCTAGCTTTTTTTTACTTAAAAAATTGGGAAAATACAATGATTTAAAAAACTATTTTACCTACATTTAATTACATAACACTGGCTATGATCAAGGCAATGCTCTAAGTGAATTACAGATATAAACTCATTTAATCCTCTGAGCAATCCTGGGAATTGAGTACTATTCTAATCATACCAATTTTTCAGAATAAAAAAAAACAACTGAGGCTCAGAGAAGTTAGACAGCTTACCCAAAGACATACAGCTAGCAAATGGCAGAGTCAGAATTCAAACACAGACTGAGCCATAGTTTGTACTCTTAATTATGCTGCCAAGCTTCTTTAGTTTTTTTTTTTTTTTTTGGTTTATATATAAGCTAGTTTTATAGAAATTAAGTTCTGTGGCCTCAGTGATGGGGGATGAAGAAGAGAGAGTGAGGGAGAATGAGAGTGAAAGAAATCTATATAATTCCTGCACATAATGTATGTCTGCAGGGGCATGAATTCGAGATGACAGGTGGAATCTGTGGTTCCCTCAGTGTGCCTTGATTTGCAGGAGTTTTTCCTAGACTGAGGGGTCTAATGTAATTGTAAATCCAAGTATTCTTGATTTCTTGGAACGGGAAATCCAAGTATTCTTGATTCTGGAGAAAGCACTGGCTCTGCTCTTCTTGCTAAGAAATGGTATATTTCTTTGGGCAATTTGAGAGTTTAGTCAAGAATATTCTTTATTTTAAGCTGTTTCATTAAATTGTCTGATTTCAGAATCTTTTATAATATGTGGCTGGGTTGTAATGTTTGTCTTTTGGGGTTGACATAAAGAACTTTTAAAAATACAGGAGTTACTCCAGGAAAACAAATCCAGCATGTGTAAATGTGAGGCATGCTTGAAGGCTGAAGATCAGAGTTTTGGATGTAGAAGGATCTTTCTCAACTCTAACATTTCCTTAATTTTGGCTGCAAGGTGACTCTCAAGGCAGCTAGTCCCTGGGAGATGGAAAGTGTGTATTCCCGGAGCTGCCTGCCAGCCATGGCTAGACATTCCATTTTTCTTGAAATCTCAAGTTGTACCTTAAAAATTTTTTTAACCTTCATTCTACTTCTTCATATATTATTTTATATAAAAGTTAGATTTTATATATCTCACCTATAAGAAATATGGATCACAATAACTCCCTAACTGTACACATCTCTTAGACACAGTCCCAGGTGTGAGTATACTATCATGAGAGGAGCATAAAAGATGAGCTTCCTGTGAAAGGTTCAACTTTTGCAGCTAAAGCAACTGAGAGCAAAGAAAAGAGGGGAAGTAACTAGCCTAGAGTCATGCAAAAGATCAGTGACATCATTGGGAAGAGACGCTTCTTACCACAAGCTGCTTGTCTCTCAGCACTTGGGAGTACATGGCTTTCTCCTACCTGTCCCCAGAGACCGTATTTATCAGGCCAGAAACTCACTTCACTAGTGTTCGAAAATCCAGCCACCCTTTGCGGCTGTGGTCAGACACCAGGAGCTTGGTTTTTAGAGCAGGGCACTCCGAAGCCACAGAGTCCACCTCTGGGGCAAGAATATCTGTGGTCACGATGCTTTTGGCTTTAGACACTTGTAGTCGGTAGAGAATGTCCTTGGCTTTTAGCAGGGTCGTTCCGGGCATGAAGATAATCCCTGAGAATGAGAAAGGAACTGCTTGTTTGATTTCTTCTTCACAACCATGGGCTTTAGATTGGGCTTGTCTGCATAGAAACTCTTAACATTTTACTATACATAGGATGGTCCAGAGACCAATAGTAGCAGTGCTACCAAGGATTCAGGATCTCATACCCTGTGCCAAACCTACTGAATTGCTATCTGCATTTTAGCAAGTTTTACAAGTGATTCCTATCCACATTAAAATTTGAAAAGAGAAACGTCATAACTACCAACTTGCTCAAGTGTTGAAACATTATAATTGATGATGGGACAAACCAACTTCATACACCTCCTGAGGAGCTGCACTGAGGAAGACACAGCACTGCCCTAATAGTACTGTTTCCAAACATTTTTAGCACAAATTTCATCCTAACGGGTCAGAAATACAAATTTTAGGTACATTCTGCAAAACACCTGGCTTGGGTCTTTTAAAAATGTCATTGCATGCAGAAAAGCCTGGGGAGTTATGCTACATGAAAGGAGACTGAGGAGACATGGCAACTAAATGTAATGCAGTATTCTCAGTTGAGCTCTGGGTTTTTAAAAAGTTTTAAAGACATGAGTGGGAGAGAGAGCACACTCAAATATGGAAAAATGCTAGCAGTTAATGAATCTTTAGAAAAGTGAGAATGAGACTGCAAGAGTAGGGTGTGTGTATGTATGTGTGTGTGTGTGTATGTGTGTGTGTGTGTGTGTGTGTGTGTGTGTGTGTGTGTGTGTAGGAGAGAAAGAATATATGACATTGCACTTGAGAGTGTAGTAATGTGAGAGTTTGAGGGAGAGAGTAAGAAAGAGTAAGATAATTTGTGAAGGAATGCGAGGAAGAGGAGACTATCAAGAAAAAAAGAGGGTAAGCAGAAGAGAAGGCACTTTGTCTCTGACTGAACTGTCAATCCTCAGAAGCCACGCAGGCTTGCTCTGTAGTCCTAGCACAGGATCTGAGGCTACACCTTCCAAGCTGTATTGATGCAAGTCTGGATAATATCCCAGAACCAATTGTCTCTAGCCCAGTTTTGAGATCCATTGGAAACTCCATGCATCACTGACCTGTTCGGATGCAGCCTACACTCACCATCCACCACTCAGGCACTCGGGGCAGAATCAAGGCCAGACCATCTCCCGGCTGAAGACCACAGGTTTGTGTGAGGACATTGGCCACACGGCGGGTTAGGTCTGTCATCTCTCTGAAGCTCCACTTTACTTCATCCCCTTGGTTATTCACCCACCAAAAGGCTGGATTTGGACCTCTCTTGCCCTCCTGAACAAAATCATGCACCATGTGTTACCTCCTGCTTTAAAGGAAAAGGGTACTTATTTGACTAATCCACAGCCATAGTCACATTCCAGTGTGAGGATAGCTCAGGCCTGAGATTTCATTTAGAACATTTATAGAGTCAGTAGAAATTGGAGAATGGGGTGAGATCCAGCAAACTTCTTCTGGCCTACTGTAGACTATAAATAGCCTTTACATTGTCTACTGAACATTTAAATCTCCATTTTGCCATGTGTTTGCATTATCCCCATATGAACAATGGGTTTTGATCCTCAGATTCCTCACTTATAAAGCGGGGACAACAATGCCACCTAGAATATAGTGTAATTTAAATTAGTAAAGCACATACAGTACCTGGTACATAGTAAGTGCTCAATGAATATTACTATTGTCATACCAAAATAAAATAAAAGTGTCTTATTTAATTGACTAATACATTAATTTTTAAAAAACTGAGATACTTCTAGAGATGAGGATCACAACATAGCATACTAGGAAGTCCCACGCCCCTTTTTTCCCATATCAACATCAAGTAAACAACAACAGATAGTCTAAAATAGCTGTGTGTGTGTGTGTGTGTGTGTGTGTGTGTGTGTGTGTGTGTTCTAGAAATAAGCCAAGTGTCTGCAGTGACCCCCAAAAAACCTCAAACATGAAAAAGCAATAATTAAAATGCTAGGACATTTTTGATGTATTGGTTCCCCTTCCCACATACCCTCCCTGATGTGGTGCAGTACAGTGGTTCCTTTCTTGGGACAGAAAGAAAAGAGTGGAACTTGTTTGCAATATTTTGGCTTGTCCAGGGACTGCCTGAGAAACTAATTTCTGTCTTGCATGACTTGGAGGTCAGATGTGAACAGTGGCATAGTTTGAATATCAAGTTGAGGTCTATAAAAGCAGTGGCCACAATGTGGAAAAACTGAGACCCGTGGCACCTAAGCACAACAAACTATAGGAAGAGGAACCCAATTTACCATCTAAGGCCTCGAGAAGAAGCAGGGGTGAGACTTTTAGAGAATCAAGGCATTTAAAAACAGCCTTGTATATGAGAAAATTGGAGCACTGGGAGGGATACACACACAGGTCCAGGAAAGAAAAATGCCAGAAAAGGCCTAAGAAGATCTGATGTCCTTACACTGGGAGGATTGGTGAAGGTCTTCCACTACATGGAACCAGTCTGAGAGAAGTGGCTGTTTTGTTGTTTTTGTTGTCTTTTTCCTCAAATGCCTGATTTTCAACAAAAGATCACAAGGAAAAAAAAAAGAAAAATATGCCCTACTCAAGAGATGAAATAAATCTTCAGAAACCAACCATAAAGAAACACAGGCTTCAGTTATTAGAAAAATATTTTTGAACAACTACCTTAAATATGCTCAAAGAGCTAAAGAACAACACAAACACAGACTGAAATAAAGTCAGAAAAACTAAATATGAACAAAATAATATAAACAATGAGCATTTAAAAAAAGAAACTAAGAAATTTTGGAGCCGCAAAATGTAGCAACTGAATAGAAAATTCACTAGAGGGGTTCAATAGCAGATTCAAACAGGTAGAAGAAAGAATCAGTAAACTTGAAGACATGTCATTAGCAATTATTGAATTGAGGCATAGATAGAAAAAAATTTAAGAAAAGTAAACAGAGCTCAAGGAAATTATGGGTCACTATAAAAAATACAAGCATGTTTTGGCATTTGTAGAAGGGGAAGACAGAGAGAGAAAGGGGCATAGAGCTTATTGGAAAAAGAAATGGCCTAAACTTCCTAAATTTGAGAAAAGACATGGATATACAAATTTAAGAATCTCAATAAACTCTAAGTAGAATATGGAATTTATTTATTACACGTACTATGTTTCTTCTTACATGTTTAAACTTCAGTCACCTTCAAAGTACTTTCCATTTGATATAATATACCTACTGAGATACTTTTTCCACAGCTCAAAACAGTTTTTGAACTGATCGATTTTTATGCTTTTCTTCTGCTGCTTCTTATTTCACCTCTTCCACATCAGCAAAATGTTTCCTTTTGAGGACACTTTTTTCATCCAGGAAAACAAACAAAAAGTCACTTGGGGTGAAACAGGGTGAATAAGGAGGGTGGAGCATGGGAGCCATGCCATTTTTGGTCAAAAACTGCTGAACACTCTGCACAGTGTGGGCAAGGACATGCTTATGGTGGAAGAACCAGTCACCTGTTTGCCACAACTCAGGGCATTTCTTCTGCAAATTGTGATGCAACCTTTTCAAAACTTCCAGATAAAAAATTCTATTGATTATTTGACCCAGAGGAACAAATTCCAAGTGTAGTACGAGGGGCCTGCCCTCCAAAAGATAATACGACTTTTTTTGGAATCCATCATAAACCCAAAGAGATCCATACTGAAACATGTTAAACTCTTAACTCTGAAAGCTAAAGAGAAAGAGATAATCTTGAAAGCAGCAAGAGAAAAGTAACTCATACCATCAAGAGAACCTAAATAAGATTATTAGTGGATTACTCAGCAGAAAAATTGAATTCAGAAGGCCGATGTTATAGTTCAAGTTCTGTTAGAAAAAAAAAACTGTCAGCCAAGAATTTTAGCCATAGCGAAATTATTTTTTTAAAAAAATGAGTGAGAAATTAGGATATTCCCAGAAAAATAAAAGTTGAGAAAGTTCATTATCACCAGACTTACCCAGCAAGAAAAGCCAAAAGAAGTCCTCAAGTTGAAATAAAATGATATCCGAGAGTAACTCAAATAGAAATACAAAGCTCTCTTGTAAATGTAAATACTTGAACAAATATAGAAACCAGTCTTATTGTAATTTTAGTTTGTGAATCCACGTTTTATTTTCTTGCATTATTTAAAAGATAAATAATTATAAATTTATGTCATTAGGTATACAACATACAAAGATGTTATTTGTGACATTAATAGCATCAAGTGGGAGATGGGATACAACTGTAACAGAGTACAGTTTTTATATGTGATTGAAGTTAAGCTTTAATAATACATTAAGAAATCAATTAACAAAATGGCAAAAGTACATTTTTGTAACTATTTTAAATTTAAATGAACTAAATTCTCTAATCAAAATACACAGATTATAAGACTAGGTTGTACTGGGGTTTCAGACAGTCTAGACCCAAGTCCTGCTCCTCTGCTTTTTAGATACGCAATTTCAGTAGGTTACTTAAACACTTGGAACCTCAGTTTCTTGATTTAGAAAATGGGGACAATAAGTTCCCATCTAATCAGAGGATTAAACACAAAGTCGTTGATGTGGCATATTTTTAAAAAGCTATCTGTAACCAAGGTTGCTATTTTTCTTGGGGTCATTATGGAAATGCAGAGAAAGGAAAAGAGGAGATGGGAGAATGATACTTGAAAGGCGTTTAAGATTTGAATAGGAACACATGAAGTCACTAAGATGAAAGTGACAACTCAGACCAACATAAACTTGATAACCTTGTAATTAGAACTTTACACTTGGTCACAATTATGGAGCACTGATTGCATGCCAAATACTTTTACCTGTTGTTTTGTTTTTAAATGACAACCCCATTTCACAAATGAAACTACTGAGACCCAGGGAAGTGAGAAAATAGCCAGGCTGGGAATTGAATCCCCAAGTATAAGCTATTTCTACAACAATGAGGCAAAAACTATCTTTGGTTCTGTGCTTCTCAGCCTAGCAGAAGCAAGACAAAGAGAGTGAGACCACCGCCATCTTCAACCCCTCATCACAATCCCCACTCTCACCTTCTCCATTTGAGCCCAATAGTCCAGCACATCACTTGCAAAGTTAAATTCCTCAGGCGTGTCATAGTCATTCCATCTGAGAACTCCATGTCCTGATAAAGACTGGCATCTCAGCTGCCAAGGTGCAGAATGGAAGCTGTGGGAGGATTTGTGGATACCACAGAGGACCCGGAGCCTCATAAGCAACTGCATGGTGAAACAGTTCTCAGGAACTGGGCAGAGTTTCCAAGTTCCCACCTGAATTGAGAAGGGATAGCTAATAGGTTCATTCTGTAGCAAGAACTTTCTCCACAAAATAGATGCATGTTTCTTGTTCATTCCTAGAGTTATAGCTTTGTCTCAGTTCCCCAGAATCTGGAAGGCACAACTCCATGATTTTGGTGGGGATTTCTCTTCCCAGCTGAGGAACTATAATTCAGGAAATGCTGGGTAGGGACTGTAGCCATGATAAGAGGTTGCTATAAATTTCAGGGTTCTTCTCCTTCAACTCACTGATATTTAAGCCTGGGTTGGCAGTCGTGCGGCTATTCCCTTTGTGGTAGAAACTCACCATTTAAAAGTTCTCTACCCTATGCTACCCTTACTCTGGAGACCTCTCTTTCTGCCACACTTGATCATGTGGTTCACACGTAAGTCATCATCTCTTTAGATGATTCCACTCCCTGACTAAAGTTGATTGGTCCATGACTTTTTAACCTAGGCTGAGTCAATTGTAATTCCTCTCCAAAATTCTGCATGTGTGTGTGTACTTGATAATAAGATAAGATAAATAATGCTTTCTTTCTCTGGTGGAAGCCATACAATGCACATTTTGGGTACTGTTTGTGGTTATGATTCCTATTATGTGGAGATAATCCCCCTACCTAAGAGAATGAAGCAAGTGTACAGGAACTTAGAGATAAGAATCCTAAGAATCCGGCAATCATTCAAGTCCCTGGTTCAAACTATTTTGAGATCCCTCTGCATCTCTCCTACTCTTGTTAATAAGCTTCCTGGGTCCTGTGATCCAACTGTTTCTGTTTTGCCTGAGATTGGGTTTTTGTCACTTGAGACTCTCAGGATACTGACAAACATCCACCATTATCCTCAGGGCAGACACTGATAATATCGCAGCACCTTCCCACAGGCCTGGTTTGTGACCTTGAGATCTTCCCTAGGATAAGGTTCCAGGAAGCTATTACCAATCTAACAGAGTTGATGCATAAAATGAAACCTCTTTGCCATCTCAAATCCTGACAAATGCCACAACATGAGAACAGAACCTTCAATTGTTAGGGACATTCTTAAAGTTTTATTGCTAAAATTGACTTAAGCTACAACCTCTATTTCTATGAAAATGTTGATTTAATAATGTCACTTCACAAATAGCTTTTGGAGTCAAACACTTTATCGCTGGTGACAGTTCAGTCCCTTCTCCCTTAGTTTCAGCAAAAATACAATACTTTTTGACAATAAACTCATAAATTAGACCAATAAAACTGATAATGTCCATCAAGTGGTCCTTTATCTCAATTGACATCAACTGGCTGCCACTAAGAATTATCTGCTTTGCTAAATGGGATGTTCTCCAATTGGACTTGGTTCCCACCATCCTGAGTTTGTTACATCTGCCTGCTTCTCCTCTTATGGTAGTTTTGTAGCCCCTAGGACTTTTGAGCTTAAGATCTCTGATCTAGACCAGTATCCCAGGAGGGACAGCAATTTTCTAAAGGTTGCAAGACAAGTTTCACCTGCAGAACAGATTCTAGAATTTCACCCCCTCTGCTTCTTTTTTTTTAACACGTACTTTCCCTCGCAGGCCTGAGTTGGTTTAGAGTGAGAATATCAGACTCAGCTGTTATTTTTCTACACATGTGTATGTGTGACCTCAGAATCTTCCTTAAAATACTAACTCACTCTTCCCCAAAGACAATGCAAACAACCCCTTAATAAGCAGCTGAAAAAGAAAACAATAGAGAGACATATAATAGGAAAATCCATTAACCCTTTATTATGGGTTGAATTTGTCCTTCCCTAAATGCGTACTGTGGTGTCCTAACCTCCAGTTTTTCAGAACATGACAGTATTTGTACACAGGATCTTTGAAAAACTAATTACTTTAAAATGAGGTCATTAGGGTAGGCCTTAATTCAATGTGACTGCTGTTCTCATGAAAAGAGGATATTAGGACACAGACACACTCGGAGGGAGAATGCTATGTGAACACGAGGTAAGCTATCTACAAGCCAAGGAGAAAGACTTCAGAAGAAAACACCCTGATCTTGGACTTCTAGCCTACATAACTAGGAGATAATAAATTTCTGTTGTACAAGTCTCCTAGTCTGCAGTAATTTATTATGATTTCCCTAGAAAACTAATATACTCCTCTTGATCAAATAAAGAAGAAATGATTTTGATATCATCTTATAAATGTTTGTGATTCTAATTTAATCTTCCTCTTGTGAGAGGGACAAACACAGCTGAAGTAAACTGTGGTAGCTGAGAGCACAAGAAATCAAACAGCAGAAGTTCAAATCCAGACCGCTCAAATACCACCTACATAACTTGGAAAAATTGGCTTAACCTCCCTATACAACATGGAAATATTGGCAGTATCTATAGCCTAAAGTTGTGATGGTTGATGAACAACATCTGCATAAGACACTTGAACACAGACAGCAAAGGCAACTACTCTGGAAATAAAAACTCCTGCTAGTTATCACTCTCCCGGGAAATTCTCATTGAATAATCAACCCCGACAGAACAAAATGACTCATTTACCTTTGGAATTAACCTTAAAACGTCATTTTGGTTAGTGATGAACTGCAAATACACAGTGGTCTCATAAAATTATAATAGTGCACTTTTACTGTACATTTTCTGCATTTATATATGCTTACATACACAAATATTTGACCGTTGTGTCACAATGACCTACAGTATAAAATATAGTAACATGCTGCACAGATGTGTAGCCTAGGAGCAATAGGCTATACCAGGGAGCTTAGGTATGTAAGAGATGGCACCATCCAGGTTTGTGTGAGTACACTCTATGATGGTCCCTCAATGACAAAATCACCTAACAACACATATCTCTTAACTATCCGGGTTGTTAAGTAACACATGACTCCACGTCTATGTCTATATCCATATCTATCTATTCCTCCCCATGCTTGACACATAGTAACTACTCAAAAAATGTTAGATTCTTCTATTCTTTGACATATTTTGGAAAGCTGACAGATGAAATATGGGAAGAGAAAAGCCAGTGTTCCCGCAAAAGAAAGTTATAGAAGCATATTTTTAATTTCTCAAGTATTTATCATGGATGTGCCATACATAACTCTAAATACTACCAGATATTAATTAGAACAAAAGAGTTTCTACCTTCTTGAAGCATATCATCTAAGCACATCCTATAAAATAATTTTAAAGAACAGTTTCGTGGAATGCTTAAAGTACATTCTGAAAACTATCCGTCACTGTGGCTTTGAGAGGCAGCTGGACTCCCACTACATGTCCAGATACACAATATCTTGAAGAGTTCTTGCAACTGAGCCTTGACTTCACAAGACTTTGGACTAATACAGCTACTGAATGAGGCAGCATACTCGGTGTGTTATAGGGTGTCCCAGAGTTACAAAGCCAGGATTTGACTTTTGGTTTCATCCCCTACCAGCTAGGTAATCTTGGATACTGTTCCTGTCTCTGAATTTGAGGGTACAAAAATAATATCTACTTTCTGACTTCTTGTAAGGATTAGTGAACCCATTCACATAAATCACTTGACTGGCTCCGAGTATGGTACACAGTAAGGACTCAATAAATGTTGAGAGGCTTTTTAAGTTCCAGCAAATTCTGAAGCCAAACCTCCCCATTAGTTTATTTTAAATTATATTTTTAAATGAAAAGCATTCACTTTATTGAAAGCGGACTAATTTATGCTTAGGGAAGATTTATTTTGAGCATTCACCTGGATTTGTGCCCTCCTTCCATGGCCCACCACATTCAGAGTCGCCTAACATTAAGTCAGTTCCCTTCTGTGAGCCACCCACTTAATCCTCTCACCTAATATCAGCAGCTTTATTGTACAGTTAAGGTAATGAAGTATCAGAAAAGTTAAGCAATTTGCCCAGATTTTTTCAACTTATAAGTAGCATTGCCAGAATTTAAAATTGGATTTTAAGTTTAGGAATCTATATAGAATTTATTGCCCCATGGCACATACATGCCCACGCTCATGCACATCCAAATACATATACACACCAAAGAAGCTGTTGCTCATCTCCTTACCTGGTACGATTTAGGACACAGCTGGGCGAGGTCTTGAATAGATATAGTAAAGGAGTCGTTATATGTTTGGTTCTCTATCATCAGGTCCTTTCCCGGATGTGTACACATCTAAACTTAGCTCCTGGCCACAGCCAAGGGGAACTTTGAACAGAGAACTTGTCAGGAGTCCAGTGATTCAGTAGGGGGAGGAGATGCTCAAGGAGAACAGGACTGAAAATGATTAAAGGTCTCTACATAGAACTAATCAATTATAAAAACAAATTCTGTGTATGAAATAACCTCCAGTACTTCTGGAATGACTTGGCATTCAGGAGAACAAAGTTGAATGGGTCACTTTCACTAGCAGCTAACCTGCTCCCCACTCCCAGCTCTGCATCCTCATGGTTTCTCCTCAATGACAGCTGAGAGGCAGTGTGGCCTCATACATAAGAGCTTGTGCTCTGGAGGCAGAAAGATCTGGGTTTGATCCTTAAGTCTGCCACTTGTTGATTTTCTCACTCTCTGCCTTCATTGTCTTATTTGTTTTTTATTTTTTGCTATTTTTTCTTATCATCCATGCAGAATTAATTATTTTTTTTTGGTTTGTAAAATAGAAGTGATAATAGCAACATCTACCTTCCAGAGTTTTTCTCTGCTTATTTGTTTGTTAGGAATAGATAAAATAATTTATATTTTATAGAGCTGGCATAATCGATGTTCGTTGTTTTTATTAATTTGAAACATTAAGAGAAGCAAAATAAAGGGTCCTGGAATCCCAAAGTCGAACTAAAGTCCTGGCCCAGCCATTTATAAGAAGGCACTTTGACTAGCCATTTATCTCTCAAAGATTGTTATTCTCACCTGTAAAATGAATGACTTATTGATAAGACTTGTTTCATGGGATCATTGAAAGGGTTATGTGATGTTAAGAGGGCTAAACA